TTTTTTTTTTTTTTTTTTTTGCTGATACTAAGGAGTGTAAGAAACTAGAGCAGTGAGGTTAGTGAATTAAGGGAAGCTTATGCCTTTAAACCCCTAATTATTTTTTTTTGCTTTTTTGGAAACCTAATTTAATTTTTAAAAAATGGCTCAAAGCTGTTTCTATTCTACATTAGTGATACAGGGACCTGAGAATTTACCAGGCCATTTGTCCCACTAAATGGTTGCAGAGGGCTTTGTACCATCTCTCTCAGAGATTTTTTTGTTACTTCTTTTGGTTTCTCTTACTGTTATCACATCTTTCTGCTTTTTATCTGGCTCTTTCTTATTTGCTGCCTAAATTTATATGCAATACTGTACAAGATCTGCCTTGTCACTTACTAATACCTTCTAGGAAATCACGTCTTGTCCCAATTTATTTATTCTTTTTTTTGTTGTCACTGTTTTTGGTACTGAATATTGAACACAGGGCATGCTAAGCACATACCCTACCACTGAGCTCCAGCTCCCATTTCCTGTTTATTCTTTCAGTCACCAGCCTGGCTTTCACTGTTGCAACCTTATTCCCCACTGTTAAGTCCTCTCACTGCCTGCTTCTTAAAACTCCCTGATACGGTGTCCTACCTCTGTATGCCTTAGATCGCTTCCCTACTCTGATTGAGGTAGAACACCAGGAAAAGATTCTTTTTTCTTAGTATTATAGCAAAGATAATATATGGAAAGATTGGAAAGTAACAGAATGGGATCGAGAGTAAAGATTTCCTGTATAATTCAAAGGAAATTCCCGGTCATCTTTAGAAAAACATGTTTCTAGATGTTTCAGGTATTGTTGAATTCTGGTGTGAGCAAGAGGCTCCTGTGTGATGGTGGACCGGGCATTTTTGAATCATGCAGAGAAGTGAGTGTGGGTGCACTGGGCATCTCATGCTGTGTCTGATGAAGTGCTTCAGAAGAGAGTAGACAGTGAGTAGAAGAAAATTATTTTCATGGGTTTGAACATTTGTTGTTCTTTGAAGAATTCAGCCTTGGCCAGATGGAACTAACCCAGCAAGCAATTCAGTGTTGTGTTTCCTTCTCTTGTTCACTTTGATGGGAAGGAAGTGGTGCACTCTTTGGAGAAAGCTCCACAGCCTGGCACCAGACGGCAGCCAGAGTCAGGAGTCACAATGTGACATTTGGGAAGTGTTTGACAATGTATCATTTACGGTTATTAACTTGAGGTCCTCAGACCCCTAACATAGTAGTTCTTAAGATTTTTCCCCTTTAGTTTCAGGATCCTCTTGTCCTAAGACTATTGAGGACACCCGAGTGTTTTTGTTTATGTGGATCGGATGTGTCAATTTTTGAGATTTTGTTTATGTGGATCAGATGTGTCAATTTTTATCATGTAGAAATTCAAACTAAGAAAGGTTAAAACACTAGCACATGATGGAGCCATTACGTTTCCCATGGCCTCTGGAAAACTGCTGTAACTCGAGTGAAAAAGCAGTGGATATCTTAGTATTGTTGTAAAATATCTTTGATCATGTGGTTCCCCTCAAAGTATTTTGGAGATGCCCAGGGATTTGTGATGTATGAATTTAGAATTTTGCTCTTAAGAATGGATCTATGTGAATAGAATTTAGGAGATTTGAAATCTTGAATAGGAACTTTTTTTTTGTCTTTATTGTCACTTATTTATAACAGGAATTTATCAGTTTTTTTCTGTTGCCAGTATAGGCACAATCATAGCAATATTAGGAGTGAGTGTCTGTGACTTTGCTACCAAAAGAAGTCATAGATAGGTTCAGAATATATTATGTTCTTTCTTCTTTCTTTTTGAGACAGGGTCTCACTATGAGACTGACCCAGAACTCACTGTGTAGCCTTGGCTGGTCTTGAACTCATAGTGATCCTCCTGCCTCAGCCTCCCGAGTGCTGGGATTACAGGTGTGTGCCACCACGCCCGGCTAGAATATATTATGTTATTGCAGATATCTTGATATTTTAAAAGTAGGGTACTTATTAGATCTCCTGCTCGGTCATGTTAACAAGTTAAAGAGGCATGCATATTAGTATTTTATAATTTAAATTATTTTGATACATAGATGTTTGCAATCCTATGTTTTATATTTTATGCATTTGTGAACATTTTTATTTTGAGAAGAGATTAGTGGCACATGCAGAGTTAAGAATGCTTTAGATTACAAGGCCTCTTATATTTTGTTTTCATGGCAAGAACTACTCTGCATCAGCCTTGAAAAGTCTGGTTTAAGATCTGTAGTGTTGACAGCTGGCTGAGGCATAAGTGACTTTTACTTGTCTTCTTTCCATGTGGGGTCAGCTGCGAAGTGTGCTGTGGCTGCGTTAGCTCTCTATGGAGGAGCAGTATGTTGCTGATGCTTCATTCTTGGTTATTCTAATACAGGTTCTTTACAGGACTCTAGCAGGAAATTAGACATTTGCTGAGTGGTTTAAAGTGTAATCCATCTTCTTTTTTCTTAGAGGGTCAGAAATAGCCTCCTGGCTGAAAAACCTTGTTCTGCTTGGTCTGGCATTAGGAGACCTTGCCTGAAATGCTATGTTGATGGCAACCACCTCTGAATTGTCAGTATTTATAAATGAGTGTGGGGTGGATGCACAAAAGAACTCTAAATTAAATAAGGAATAAGTGAATAAATAATGCTGATGTTGTTCTTTTCCCTAGTTGGAATCAGTCAGTTGGCATTTTTCAGGGATGGTTTAAGAGGCAGAGTTGAAAATGATTCTGAGAGGACATAGCCCTGAGCTTTGGGTGACATCCTCCACTTTTAATCTTTGTGATTAGTTTCTGAAATGTAAACTCTTTGAAGATGTAATGGTGGCATAATAAAATAGAGCCTTACACGAGCTCTTTGTTCTGCCTTTAATTGGCTGTGGGATCTTGGGGGAACTGCTCATCTTCCATACTTGTGTCCTTATGAACTACTGTAGAGCTTCTCCAGCTCGGTTAACCAATAATTAGAAATTTGGGGATATATTCATGAAGTATAATTTACTCAGCACATAGTATGTGTCAAATGTCTTAAGTACTAGAATTTTAACAGAGAACAATATATAGCCCCCATCCCCAGAGAGATTATAATCTAGAATTTAACCAGCAAGTGAGTATTTAGGTCAAGCCCACTTTCTGTAAGTTATTAGAAATTCCTAGTGAAGGAATAGCTGTGATATTTGAGTAGAAGTCTTGCCTATTCAATCCAGATTATCATTTGATACCCACTTAGTACCAGTAGACTCGTGCTTGGTGTTGGTTGATGCATAGAAAATAGTGGGTGCTGATTATCTTCCCATAATGAATATTCACTTAATTTTTATTTTGGGTCTAAATGTGTAAATTAGATCATAACAGTAGTGCTTTGTCTTGAGGATATTCATGAGGCAAAAATACAACTATCTACAGAGTGGTAAGTGCTATAATGAGTAGATATGCTGTTTTATGGATTTAAGAGGAAGGCACACTTGAGCCCTTTGGGCATTGACACTTTTAGGCAGTTCCAGCATGCTTTGTGGAGAAAGCCATGTAAATAACTGGACCTCAAGGTTGAGCAGTAATTTGCAATGAGAAAAGTTTTAGAATTTAGTGGAGTCATAGGGCCTTCATCTGGTTGGGTAATTGGGCTACAGTATTTTAAACTGTTAATGTGTGGGCCAGGGCAACATCATCTTTTAAATATACTTATGTTGAAATATTAATGATGAGGGGTTAGTGGGTTTTTTTTTTGATGTAACATTTAATTTGTAACATTTTCTTCAATATCTGTGTTTATGTTTGTATGTGTATTTCAGAAAGAACACCCAGGTTAATGCCAGATAAGGAAAGCATGTATTACCCACGGGTGCAGCATTACCGAGAGCTTCTTGACTCCTTGCCAATGGATGCCTATACACATGGCTGCATTTTACATCCTGAGCTAACTGTGGACTCCATGATCCCAGCTTATGCAACCACAAGGATTCGCAGTATGTAAAAATTTTAAAGACCTAGAATTCTGCCTGAAGTTTCTTTTAATTCACTTTTGAGACTTAGCATGTCTCATGGTCATTGAGAGAAGATCGGGAATAGAGTGTTGAGTTTGTATGGATGTGATATGCATTTTATGGATTGACACAAGAGCCAGTCAGATGGACATTTATTGTCTGTAGGACCTGATTTGTTGGCTCTTGTCTTGGAGGGCCAAACTTGGGTAATATTAAGAAGAGTGGCTATGGAAAAACAGAGAACATAACATGTTCTCATGAACAGATCCAGAAAACTACAACCTGCCTGCAATCATGGACAACTGAGTTCACATTTCTGATCCTTAATTGTTTCACTATGTGAGGGAGCTGATTAGAGGTGATGGTTACTTCTGCCCTCTGTGATCAGAGGTTTATTGAGATTGAGTTGTGTCGCTCAGCTCTCTCCCTTGTTCTTGTTATGAGGATAGAGTCAGGAGAGGGTGTGAGAGGAGGGACAGGAGGAAGTATGCTCTGTAGTGCAAGTGACCGAAGCTAGGATGGTCACAGCAGTGACAGTAGGCAGATTCTGGAGTGTTTGACTAGAAGTGCTCAGTCCCAGGTCTTCAAATCCCGAAATCATGTTTTCCTATTACATTGTACATCACCATTCTCTTGCACGTATTTTCTTTCCTTTTGAGACCTTTTCTCTCTCTCCTTCTTTTCTTACCTTCCTCTTCTTCCATCCCCTTTCTCCTTCCTCTTTCCTTTCTCCTCTTTGTGTTCCTCCTCCTCCTCCTTGTACATACTCATTATGATCTGAAACATGTATTCTAGCCACAATCCTATAACTTACATTAACAGTATTTAAAAAATAAGGGTTTTCCCTTCTCTTCATATAGCTGTTCATTGTAGAAAAACTGAGAAGTATGGAAAGGGGAGATAACTCACCTTCATGGGGCAGGACAGTGCTCTGGGCCTTGCTGTCAGTCCCTCCCAAGAGCTTCTCACTTGGTCCTCAGCCCATGTGGCAGGTGGTCATTAGTTCCATTTTAAAAGTGAAGAAACAGGGGCACAGATGGGATTTATTTGAAGCAGTAGCTGGGCATTGGCCCCAAAACTCATATTCCTGCAATTGAGTTTCCCCACTTCTCCTTGTGACTGGTACAAAAGGGAGAGAATACTTTTCTATTAAGAAATGTTTTTATTATCAGGCCAAATTGGTAACACAGAGTCGGAATTGAAGAAACTTGCTGAGGAAAACCCTGATTTACAAGAGGCATATATTGCCAAACAGAAGAGGCTTAAAGTAAGTGACCATGCTATCCTCAAATGACACTCACTGTTTGCATTAAAATTAAAAAAAAAAATGAATAACACTACTACTAGAACATCTTCTGTTAAACATTGTGATCCACCAGTGTACATGTTACCTTGGCTTATGCAGTGCTTTTAGCATTTTCTTTACTATATTTGATGGTTAAACTTCATGACCATTGCTTCATAAGAGACATTGAGTTTGTTGGTTGTCACAGAGAGTTACAAAATGCAAAGCTAGGCTAATAAAAATATTTTAGCAAGCTGTCCTTTCAGGTTTTCCATCACGTTAAAGTCTAGCTAGACCTGTGTCCCTGCACGTGTTACCCTGACTTGCTTTGTTCCTAAAAGGAGTATCAGTTCGGCCTTTTGCATTCTGTTGATTCTTTCTCCCATGGCAGACATGGAAGCTTCTCTCATATTGCACATGTAGCAAACAGCAGCCCTCCCAGCCCTCGTTTGACTTCCCATCTTCATCTTCCTAGTTAAATGAGCCCTCAGAAGAAATGCCTGCACACAGTCACTTTCTGCACTGTCCTCTCACTGCAGTCAGAGTTCTGCCTTGTTCCTGAACTTCTGGTCACTTAGTCACTTAAGCCTGCTGGAGTTGACTTCTTGAGTGAAGCAGTACTTCCTGGTCATGCACCCTCTCAGGAGTTACCAGAGAGCACTGGGTTTGCATCTGGGATATTTTCACAGTGGAAGTGTTTTCTCTCAATTTTAATCAAGTTTTATTTGACATAGTTATTCTATTTCTAGCCATAGTCTAAAATAGGCTCCGATCCTATAAATGTTTATATTTACTTTGCACTAGATTTTTTATGGGCACAAAAAACCTGTTTACTGTCTCCTTTTTGGTTTTAGTCAAAGCTGCTTGATCATGACAATGTGAAATATTTGAAGAAAATTCTTGATGAGTTGGAGAAGGTCTTGGATCAGGTTGAAACTGAGTTGCAAAGAAGAAATGAAGAAACCCCAGGTAGGTTCTCATTTGTATTCTTTTTATTTGTTTGTTTGTTTCAACACCAGCAGTATTTATGGGAACATTCTTAGGTCTCACCAAACACATTCAGTAATCCATTTTTATTGCTGTTATTTATGGGCAGCTTTAGTTATGATAGCAGCAATGCTATTAAAATTCAGGTGTCTGATAACTCGGTCTGTATGTACCTGAAGTGTGACTTATGAAGGGTTTTCCTGCACCAATTTAATTATGGTTGGGAGATTACTACCTGATCTGTTTTACAAATTTGTAATTTCAATGGTTTGGTGAAATAACCTAATTTCTTGAAGTTCCTCTAGTTCTTTTCTTAGGCAGGGAGGCAACTTCTAAAGTATGAATGAAGTATAGAGTGGGGGTCAGTATGTGTGTACTTGTAGGCTGACTTGGGAGTGTCTATGTATTGCGCCTGTAAATGTTAGCTTTAAACCAGTGTCTAGGTGTATACTCATGGATGCTTTGTGCTACTGATGTTAACTGATAAGCATGTTATCTGAAACTGAAACTTGCGTCACAATAGGAGCCTTCTTTTGCATTAAGATAGTCATCCATCTGTATCCATGAAGGACTGGTTCCAGGAGAGTAAAATCTATGAATACTGAAGTTCCTTATATAATATGGTGTGGTGGTATTTGCATATAACCTATATTCATCCTCTAAAATTATCTCTGGATTACTTCACATGCCTACTGTATTGTATATTCTATACAAATAGTTGTTATACTGTATTATTTAAGGAATAATGACAAGAACAAGTTTATGCGTGTTCAGTAAAAATGCAATTTTGTTTTTAAATTTTTTTTTTTTCGTTTTTGTTTTTGAGACAGGGTCTCACTATGTAGTTGAGACTGACCTGGAACTCACTATGTAGCCCAGGCTGGTCTCAAACTCAGTGATCCTCCTGCCTCAGCCTCCAGAGTGCTGGGATTATAGGTGTGTGCCCCCACACCCGGCTGTTTTTAAATATTTTTGATCCATGGATGCAGAGCCTGTGGATACAGAGGGTTTACTGTAACTAAGAGAAGTAACCATTAAGTAATGTTCATGAATTTTCCTAACACACATTTATTGTTTTCCCAAACCAGAAAGAAGTATCTGCTAATCTGTTAACTCCTCTGCCTCTATAAACTCTCAACTTCTGAGTCCTTACGAGATTGTAGAAAGTCTTTGCATTTAAATGGGTCCAGTTTTGTGTGGGGATTTAGGTAGCTGACAATTGGCGACAAGTCATCTTTAGCTTGGGATACATTTGAATGAACTTTTTTTAAAGCAAAAGTTGCTCACTAAATGATTGTCAAGAAAACCTATCATGATTTTCATCTTTTACTCCACTCACACTTGCCCTGAAGACAGTGACTACAGGCAGGCTTTTCTAGAGTTTCTTTGTACAGTACTTGCCCTAATACTCTGTGTCCTTTTCTCTGATTAGAAGAGGGCCGCCAGCCTTGGCTCTGTGGAGAATCTTTCACCCTGGCAGATGTCTCGCTTGCTGTCACATTGCATCGACTGAAGTTCCTAGGGTTTGCGAGGAGGAATTGGGGAAATGGAAAGCGACCAAACTTGGAAACCTATTATGAGCGTGTCTTGAAGCGAAAAACATTTAACAAGGTTTTAGGACATGTCAACAATATATTAATCTCTGCGGTGCTGCCAACAGCATTCCGGGTGGCCAAGAAAAGGGCCCCAAAAGTTCTTGGCACCACCCTTGCAATTGGTTTGCTTGCGGGAATGGGATATTTTGCCTTTATGCTTTTTAGAAAGAGACTTGGCAGCATGATATTAGCACTTAGACCCAGACCAAATTATTTCTAGGCTTGTCGGGATCTGGTGGTGGCAACTCATGCACCCATTCAGCTAGACCCTTGTCCACTCTCCTGGACCCAGTGAAGAATTATCCTGGACAACTAGTAAAAAACATAATTCACTTTACTCTTTGAATAGTTTGTATTGGGGAGAGATAGTTATGAAAATGTTTTTGTAGGCTGATAAGTGAGATGACTTCTTTGCAAACTTGAACTAATGTATTCTTAAAACATGTGCAAGGTCAAGATATGCAAATACTGATAGAGTCTAGACCTTTAACTCAATATTGTCAGTTCAAGGTCTAACTTACTTTCTTTTGTTTTTCATTAAGTTTATTGGTACTTTTTAGGTATACAGTACAGTTACATTCATCATTGGGATCTTGTACCTTTACATGACAGGTCCTGGTTCTCATTTTTCCCCATACCTCATCCCTCCACCCTTAAGACTTTGTTTCCATTTTTCCTTTTCTAATAGTTTTTCTTTTCCCTTCTTTCCTTTCCCCTACCCTTCCCACTAGCCCTACTGCTTTAGACCTTTTCTCCCTATTTCACATTATCAATTATGCAATTTGAACCTTATTTACACTTTGTTTTTCACACCAGAGAAGCTATTCTGTATTTACACATGTGTGTCCTATGTATTTCACTTAAGAGTATGACCTCAATGTGCATCCAATTAGCTATTCATGTCTCCAGTTTCTCATTCTTTATGGCTGAGTAGTATTCCATTTTATATTAAAAAAACCCCCACATCTTCTTTATCCAGTCTTCAGCTGATGGGTGATTGGGCTTTTTCCAAGTTTTAGCTATTACAAACTGCGCCACTATGAACGTGGTTGTGTATGTGTTGCTGTGGTATGATTATTTTAATTCTTTGGAGAAGATACCCAGCAGAGGGATAGCAGGGTTAAATGAGACCTCTAATCCTAGTTTTTTTGAGGTATCTTCATATTGATTTCCACAGTGGTTGCACTCCCATCAACAATGGAGAAGGGTTCCTTTCTCTCAGTAACCCTGCCAGCATTTGTTAGTGGTTAATTTCTTGATAGCAGCTATTCTTTCTGAGATGAGGTGGAATCTCAGTGTTGTTTTCATCTGTATCTCTTGAAAGGTCTAACTACTTTCTGGGAGAAGGTTATTTTTATGTGCAGTAATAATGATGACTGCCTATAGTTTTCCATTTGAGAATTATGTGGATATGTTGATCGTTATGTACAGCATCTTTCCCTAGAACTCAGAAGTTGTTTTTGTTACCCAACTCACAGGTTCAGACAGCATCAAGACCTCACACTGTTTTATCCTGCTGTGATTATCTTCAGACAGAAATATGGCAAAGGGAAAAGGAGGAAGGAAAAATAGAGTGAGGACTATATAGAATAGAACAGTAAATTGTAACCTCCGGTTTTCTCCAGTGTCACTCACAGTTGCCTGCCTCTTCTGTAAACATCCTGTTTAACTCCTCATGGCCACAGACCACACATGTACTTCTGTAATTAAGAACTCTTGGGAAGAGAGGGCCGGGAAGCTACTGGGAAATAGTGAGCTGGATAGAACCCCAGGCTTTACATACATTGCGCCTCATTTGATCTTAAATACTTATGAACCATACTCATTGATTTAATATGATTAAGTGACTATATACTTGAGCATGAGATGTCCATTGCAACATGTCTGCCTAGCATTTACATGAATTTCTTAAGTGATATGAAGACTGTTTCTCCTGCTCCCCAGTTCAGTGGGACCATGGGAGATCTTGAGATCTTATTCCTGTTAACCTCTGTGTCTAGTCATGTGAGGAGCTTGGCCTCTACAACCTTTTTTGTTCACCTAAGTGGCATGTAGATCAATACCCCAGGTCATAACATAGCATTCAGCTGGGTAGTGGCTATTTTGAGGAGTATCAAGTACCCTCATTCTTCATTTTGGGTGGCTTATATATTAACATACAAGCTATTGTCCAGGTCTTGCATCTATGTATGTATGATTGTCAACAAAGCCTTAAATTGAAGAGAAAGAGAAATGTCTAGTCTTAGAAGAGATGAAATAGTTAGGAGAGAAGTCCACCTGAATCATCCATATATGTCTAGGCATTTTTGAGATACCTCAGTCCATCTGGAGGACACAGTCCCAGTTGTTCAGTGAACAACCACAGAACTGTAACATGATGTGTGCTCAAGAAAAAGTCTTCCATAGTGACAAGGCAGTTTCTCTGAACTGGCCATCAAGGCCTTAAGAGCAGTTCTAGGTGGATGAGCTCAGGTTCTAGAGGGTAATAAAAGCTTACTAGGATTGTTTCAGATGGACTGTAAAAATAGCCAAAGAGTGTGCTGATGTTTTCATTAATAGAAAGCAGTCAGACTAGGAAACATGATGGTAAAGAGATTCTGTAATTCTGTTTTTTTTTTATTGGTACCAGGGATCGAACTTGGGTCCTTGCACTTGCAAGGCAGGCGGTGGAACTGCTGAGCTAAATCCCTGGCCCTGTAATTGTTTTAATTCTATATTCCATTTCGTGATCTAGTTATATTAGAAAATCTTGATAAACTAAATATGACCTGTTTATGAAAAATTAATAACAGCTCCAGATTGAACTCACTCCAACAATAATAAATTTAAGTTCAGCTTTTACACTGTTTTAATTTTGTATATCTCTGTGTCATCATATGGAGTGCCTGAATCTCTTTGTTTCTGGGACATTCCAATCTACATGTTCATGAAAGAGCCATAAAATTGATTATCAACTACTTCATAGCATTTCAGAATCCTTTATATTACTCTGTTAAGAACAAGAACTGACATATGAAGAAATAAAATTGGCTTCTTATGAAAATCTACAAAGGATATTTACCTGTGAAAGGGTTGTTGATTAAGAATAAAGATTGAAAGTTTATTATTAGGTTTTCTTTCAGTATATTACTACTGAATCAGAGGAAATCTAAGAAGTATTTATAAATTTCTTATAAAGTTTTATTGCCAATATAGTTTTGTCACTATTAAAGGTGAAGCTTTCTAGCAAGTTCACTTGTTTCCTTGATACTCTTAACAGGCTTTAAAAAAATTTTTCTGGTGATGTAATGACCGCTAGATGCCGCTGTTCATCCAGTGGTCTAAGAGTGTTAGGTACATCCTGTCTTCTGAAGTGTTTCAAGGGAAGATAAACTTGAATGACCTTAGCTCTGAATGAAACATCTTCATCAGATTATTCACCTTTAAAAAAGCTTGAGACAAATGTAACATTGATTTTTAATGCTTTGTAAGTGGTAACAGCACTATACCATGTCAAACGCAAGAGTTGAATGCATACTGTTAGCTAAATAGGCACTTTTGCATATCTTCTTTTTCGTGATCATTGATGATTGGCCAATGTGCTCCTTGTTTTCCAAAATGTGTATAAGTATCACAAGTAGAAAATGCCTGAGGTACTAAATCTATGTTGGTTATTATGTCGTAACACTCATCCATACTCTTTTATCGTTATTGTAATCATATGCCTCCTAAATCTCAAATACTTGTAAATTGCTTGCTCAGATTTTAGTATTTATTGCTATCGACACCAGAGTTGTAGATTTTTTGTTGGTATTGAATGCTATAGAAAGACAAGATACTATTCTGCCTATAAGATCAATAAACATAATTGGAAAATAAATATGAACCTGAAGACAAAGTTTCATTTGTGCTTTTTTTTTTTTTTTTTAGTACTGGGGATTAAACTCAGGACCTTGCACCTGCGAGGTGGCACCACTGACCTAAATCCCCAGCTCCCATTTTGTAATCTTTTTGGGAAAAAAGATATATTTTTAAAATTTAAAATCAAATCATTGTGTTGTAATTAGGGTAAAATAAGGAGAAATTAGATAATCAAATTATTTAGCTATAGAATGTCATATTCTTACAACATAAAAATTACATTACTGATTCAATTCATTTAAATATGTACAGTTTTGTGGTTAAAAATGAATTTCAGTTTAAAGAATAACTTACTTACCCTAGTTGTTAAATAGCTTCTTAATGTTCAACCCTCTAATAAGAGCAAGTTTAGAGTGATTATGAAAGTATCTTTGCAAAATAGTTTTGTTATGTTAGTAGTTTTTATATATTACTCTCAGGATATTTTATGTTTGACACAACTAGTTCTTTTAAGTTTGAATTATGAATAGCCAAATTACTATCCACATTTCTAGCCTTGAAAAGCTTAGCCGCTGTTCTGATCATCAAATAGAAATTGAGTACTGTTTTTGTTTTACACTTAGCCAAGCAAGTTAAGTGAAAGTCTAATTGGTGTTGTCTTTCCTGAATTTACAAACAAAAACAAATGGCAAGAATACTTAAATCACATGAAAAGTTAATATGTAACTCTCTAGTCTTCTGGGAAAAGAAAAAATCACCATGGTAATGAAAAAAATCAAATTAGGGCAATAAATAAATCAATATTTAGTTGTAACTGTCATATAACTTGTGTTAAATATTGGCCCATTTATTTTGTTTATCTCTACTTATCACAGGTTGTTTTGTTTTTCTAATACTCGAGCTCATTTGTGTTTTACTAGGTAAGGTTAAAGGTTATGAATTAAGTGAGGAAGTATAATTTCTAGTGTGAGGGTAATAGTTTTATTTTAATTGTGTATCTATTGCATTTCATAAATGAAGAGGGAGAGAACTTATTTCTTGGATTAGAAAGGCAGTGCATTGACAAAAAAAGTATCTTTTATCATTTGCATCTGAGTTGAGGGTTGGCTTTTTGTCATAGGAGGAGAAAGGTTTGACAGATGGGGGAGAAGATAGGTAGTGAGGCTCTGAGGTAAAAGACAACAAAGCCACATATAGCTTGCGATGAAACATTCCTGTAATGTGCTTTGATACATTTCTTGATTCAGGTAGGGTGTTGTATCTCATCACATTACCTTGTCATAATACTCTTGCAAAGGTTATATTTTCACTTCACGTCACCTACATATTGGCGCCTTAATTACAACACACTGTCACTAAACTCTCTTTGTACAAGTATCCAGTTTTATGGGTAAAAAATATAAAGATATTAGTGAAATATAATGCAAAGGGTTAAGTTTCCATGCAAATAGCAACATTCACATCATGTGTAAATTGAATTCCTAAAGTAATTGTCAAACATATGGCCAGCATATGTAAATACTATAGCTTTTTCAATTATTACATTGAGTTATTTTAAATTTAAGAATCATATTTAGTCAAATTATCCATAAAATCATTAAATACAAAAAACATTTTCAGAGATTCCGCATTAAGTTCAGTGCACAAAAGAAAAGTTGGCATTAAGAAAATGACATGAATTAGAAACTATTAGCACTAAAATCAGTTGTTAAAGTGTAAAAATGGCCACAAATTCTTCTC